CCCCAAAACCCCAAAACCCCAAAACCCCAAAACCCCAAAACCCCGTATCTATCAACAATATTTGAAAAGAAGGTAAATATTTACCGGAGTTATGAATAATTAATTACTCCATGTTCTTTGCACGCTTGTTCGGCTTAAAGTCTTCATCTTGATTATATTCATTACCTCTCTTTTCACCAGCATGGTATTGCTGGAATTTCTTGGTGGCAGGCTTGCTGATACTCTTGACAAAGTCTCCTTCCATACTTTCAAGTCTATGGTCAAGGAAAGCTTTAGTCTTTGTACCGAGACTTCCATCTTGGTCCTCACCAAGAGCATCGTATCTTACACAGAGAGAAGTTTTAGCAGCAAGAGTTCTGGCAATACGTCCTTTGAACTTTGGTTGAGCTTGTCCAACAAGACTGGCATTGTAAATCAAACCATATTTTGGGGTGTTCTTCTTTGTTTTCATGGCTCTGAACAAAGCTTTCTCGGCTCCCAAGATCTGGATGGTAGAAGCTGGAAGTTTAGCTAGGTTAATCAGACTACCAGCATGAGCAATAAGCTTGGCAGCAACAAGTTCTCCAATAAGAGTAGTCATATTTGGAGCAATGGCTTGCATTCTACTAGTGAGGTACTCATTGAGAGTAGCTCTGTACTCAGTGATTTCAACAACCTGAGAAGCAAGAGCTTTGATATTGATTTCATCTTCTTCTAAAATCTCAGTTCCGAAAGAAATTTCGCAAGCCTTCTTAATATCATCTGCTACTTCCTCTGGAACAACATCGCTAAGATCAACATTGTTGATATTGTTTCTTCTTCCGAGAGCAAGGACGACTTTAGCGAATGTATCGTTGTCATTTACAATCTTCTCAAGCTCTGGGAAATGCCAAGAGTACCACTCCTTAAGTCTCATAGCATAATTGTTGAGTTCCTTATCCATATCAGTCAACAAAGACACGGCTTGGACAATCATTGTGTCAACCTTATCAGTTGTAAACTTAAGTTTATATCTAGAAACGGAATGCGCAAGACCAAGACTCATGCTGGTCATTTCTTTATCACTGAGCCCTTCGAGAAGGCCGCTCATTTGGTACCTGATACCTCTAATTAATTCTCTGCATTTAGTTCCTAAATTGCAAAGTTAAAATAAGAAATAAAAGATCTCCTTACCTGTTTCGCACTCAATTCCGAGTTTCTTTTGGATGACTGAAGCGAGTTCTTTATCGAAGCACATGATTTTCTCCTGGACTTCATCAGTGATGCAATTCTCTTTCAAAAATTTCTTGACCTTCTTAGTGAGCTTTCCTTCCAAAAGCTTAGTCACAGTCTTTAGAGCCTCCTTAGTGTCTTTGAACTTCTTAAAAGCATGCATCTGGACAAACTTAGATGCTTTTTCTGGAGTCTCAAAATATTTGAAGAAGTCATCAGCCTTCTTGATCTTTCCTTCCTTCATGACCTTGAATAAGGCAAGACCAGCTGGGGTTTCGAATAGGACTAACATTTTTATAAATAAGATATAAAATTATAAACACTCCATTTAAATAATTTTTTTTGGGGTTTTGGGGTTTTGGGGTTTTGGGGTTTTGGGGTTTTGGGG